AATGGATTTCCTTGGGAATTTTGTAAGGAGATGGTCACCATCTATGGTCAGTTTTTTTTCTTTTCAGAGTGTTACACCCATTACTTTTTCTTTCTTTATTATACCAACTAGAACTACCGGAACAATGTTATATAATGCAGGAAATAACAGGTATGTTTGATTTGTTTCCACTTAATTGACTTACCATTAATTATGATATTGGTATTGCCAGGTACAGACATTCCTTCCCACACCAAGGAGATAAGCTTCTAATCCTAAAAAACTAGGGCTTAAAATTTAACTTACTTTAATTTAGTTCTAGCCAAAGGTGGTCTCGAATTCCATCAAACAGTTTTAATGACGTGATATTCTTCTTTTGAAACTATGTTAATATTAAAATCTTCTCACATTTCTGGAATAAACTCTACTTAGTCTTTTTGAATGCATCCTAAATTTGATATACTGGCATTTTTCTTGGGATTTTTTTCCTACATCTATAGCCACAAGGGAAAGTGTACTGTGTTTTTGGATTTGTGTGTTTATTTATTGATCTAGCTTTCTCAAGGGTGGCTGTCAGGATAACAGTGGATTCGTATAATGCCTTGGGAAATGTTTTACCTCTTGAGTTTTGGAGTAGGGTCTAGGGTGTTTGTATAAATCTCAGAGTCCCCTGCTTCCCTCCTTCATCCTTCAGGTAGAATAGGAACCCTGATAGCCCCTTACAGCAGAGGATGCGGGGGGAGCGGGGAGGCAGAATTGAATGTCTGGGACTAGGATGAATAGTAAGTGTGTATTGCTTCATTCCTTGATTTGGTCAGATTTTTGGGTTTTGTGGGGCAGATTTTGAGAGCTAGACCTTGCATATATTGACTTCTGACATGAGAGAGCACAAGGCCCTTCTCCCCTTGCCTTATAAGATACTCTAAGTTTTAGAACCATACTTATGCTGTCTGTCACATCAGAGCTCAGTGACTTGTTTAAACCCTCCAGAAGTCTTTTTTTTTTTAATGATTTTATTTATTGATTTGAGAGAGAGCACAAGTGGAGGGGGAGGGGCAGGGAGAGAGGGAGAAACAGACTCCCCCCCCCTGAGCAGGGAGCCTGACTTGGGGCCTGATCCCAGGACCCCGAGATCATGACCTGAGCTGAGGGCAGACGCTTAACCAACTGAGCCACCCAGGTGCCCCAACCCTCCAGAAGTCTTTATGAATTTTGCATAATGCTTCTATCACTCAAAGGGTCATGATACCTCCTTATCCTAGGGAATCTATGCAGCCATGAAAAGGGACATTATAGAAGACTATTTAATATAATGTCATTCTTTGGATATATTTGGAAAAGGGGAGTATGTAAAGATGCAAATAAAAATATTAAAAATCAAACTAGTCTTTGGATTGTAGATGATTGATACTTTCTTCCCTCTTTTTCATATTCTTACATTTTTATATAACGAGCAACCACTGCCTCATTCTTCTGTGAGGGGACTTCCATGACTGGAGTGAGTTCCCAGCCTCTCTCTCTGATCCTTACTTACTCCTTAGGGTAGAGGAGGGGTAAGTCATCCTACTGGAGGGTGGTAAGGGTAGGAAACTCCTTGATCCACGCTTTTGGACTAGAACTAATCTATCAGAAAGCTTGAAGCACTTGGTGGCATTCTTCTAACACCTTCCTGTCACTAATTAGATCTACTCCCCACATCCAGCTCTTCCTCTGGTGCTCTGCCCCAAGGTGTAGCTATGGAAGGCTAGGTAGTAGTGAGTCCATTTCACTGCAGAACCAAGTCATATTATTCTGTTAGCTTACCTGTAATAAAGCTGAGATTTTTTTTAAAGATTTTATTTCTTTATTTACTTATTTGAGAGAGAGAGAGAGAGTGAGCATGTGTGTGTGTGTGTGTGTGTGTGCGCGCGCGCACGCGCACAAGCAGGGGGAGGGGCAGTGGGAGAGGAAGAAAGAATCTCCCCGCTGAACAGGGAGCCCGATGCAGGGCTCGATCTCACGACCCTGAGATCATGACTTGAGCCGAAATCAAGAGTCAGACGCTCAACTGACTGAGCCACCCAGGCGCCCCAAAGCTGAGATTTTTTATCTCCCATCTGTTTGACTCTTGCATTTTATTTTTCAGTTTTCCCCAAACTTCAATGAAGTCATACTTTTGTAGTCAGAGAAAAATGTTACTTTTAAAATTGTAGGCTGCTCGGTGTGCAAATAATATCATGAATAGCTACTATTTACTGAGCACTGACCTTGTTAACTGTCTGACGTGCATCATCTCAGTGAATTTCTATAATAGCCTTACAAAGTGGGTTCTATTGCTACCCTTGCTTTTATAGAAAAACAAAAACAAACAAACAAAAAACTAAGGTTCAGAGAGTTGAAGCTGCTGTTCTCCCCGGGATCTTGATTCTGTTACTGTGGGTTCAGAACTGATGCCTCAGGGATAACCAAAAAAAAAAAAAAAAAAGAGTTTTCTACCTGGATTTGCAAAGCTATTCCCTGAACAATTAGAATAGTGAGAACAGACAGGAACATCTGTGGGCGCTCCCTTTCCAGAGTTTCACATCTCTTGTTTACTAATGAAGGCCTGTTACCAACACCTGACATTCAAGCTGACTTGTATTTGCTTGTTTAACTGAGAGCTAGCACCCAAACTCACCCCGTAGCCTGCTGTGGGAAGGGCAGAAACAACCCCAGTCTACAGAGATGATTTTCAATGGTGTCCTGGAGTCACAGGTGACGTTAGGGGACAACAATTTCAGACATTCCATCAAGTATGCAATAGATAAGCAGTTCTCTTGGCTGCGTCAACTGTTGGGGAAGAAAACCAGCCAAGCCTTCTTGCTGGGGATTTGGCCAACAGACTGGAGAAGACAGGAGATTTCTAAAGATTGTCATCACTACCTATCCAGCTGTTGCTATTAAAAACCAAACTGATGAGTATCTCTCTGGTTGCAAAGCGGGGAGGGAGGTTGCCAGGGTTACCAAATACTAAGGTGGAAAATGGCTGCTTGGAGCTGACAGAATGAGCCCATGAAACAACCCTTTGAAAACTATTCTGACTTTAAAGGCACTAAGTTTATAGCCCCACAGATCCAGGGCGACCCCTAACGCCTTGCCAATGTCTCAGTATAGAACCTCAGTATAAAAATTCCTCAATCACACGCCCCATTGTGCAATAAAGCAGGGCAGAAGCCAGGCCTGGTGCTGACATCCAATGCAGTCATTCAAGGTTCTGGACTCAGCCTCTCCTCTCGGTCTGCCCTCCGCTCTAGCCATCTTATCCAGATGCAGCATTTTGGCAATCATGTCTGAGCAGATGACTTCCAAATCTACTTCTTCATCCCTGTTTCAAGAATCCCCAGTCCCAAATTTCTCACTTTTGCTGAGTATTCCCATGTGGACAAATTGCAGGTTACCTCAGACTATTTTTTTTTTTTTTAAAGATTTCATTTATTTATCTGAGAGAGGGAGAGGGAGAGCCTAGAGGGAGAGGGAGAAGCAGGCTCCCCGCTGAACAGGGAACCCGATGTGGGACTCGATCCCAGGACCCTGAGGTCATGACTTGAGCAGAAGGCAGACGCTTAAACCACTGAGCCACCCAGGCTCCCCTCTCAAACTCTTTATGTGTAAAACTGAACTGATATTTTTACAAACCTTATGCTTCTCCTCATCAAAGAGACTACTCTCCTTTCAGACACTTCTCTTGAAATCTTGCATTATCTTTGTGACTCCTTCCTTCTTAACCCTCATATCTAATGAGTTTCCAAGTCCAGTCAATGTCTTTGGTATTTTTTTTTAACATTTTATTTTTAAGTAATTTCTACACCCAACGTGAGGCTCAAACAACCCCGAGATCAAGAGTCACATGCCTTCCTCACTGAGCCAGCCAGGCATGTCTTCGGATTCCAACCCTCTTGTACTCCCACGTCCACTGCTTTGGTTCAGGGTCTCTTCCCCTGTCTCCTACATCAACGTTCTGGCACCATGGGGTCCTTGCCACCATCCTCACTCTACTCTTCCTCATCTGCTGCTACCAGAGTACTCTCCCCCAGCGTTCAGTTTCAACTATACCATTGTCATCCTCAAAACCTATCTTGACGTCTCATGGACTACACAATGGAGTCCAGATTCCTGAGCATGACATTCATAGTCGAGTCACAGCCTTATTTACTCTCTACGTAAGTCCTATGCGCTAGCCCAATGTTTTTCAACCCCTTCTTCATTACGGTACCCCCAATATCACCCCGATGTAGATTGCCTACTCTAGCCAAAACAGATCATTTACCAATCCCCGAATAAGCCCCTGTATTATCCAGCTCCCAAATTTTTGCTCACTTTGGCCATTTGTCAGAGGAGTTGAGGGATTATGAGCAGATTCCTGGAGTGTACTTCTGCTATTCGGTGCCCTGTTTCCCTGGCCTGGATTAGACACACATCTTCTCCCGCTGTCTTCCATTTCTTCCTGTTGAAATCTGACCCTTCATGTTACAACCCAAACACCATGTCCTCTCCCTGATCCACTCAGCTGGAACTAACTTCTTTCTGTGATCTACTAGAATTTTCCTGATACATTTATTATGTTTGTCTTTTCCTGTGTCATCTCCCCCACTGGGTTATATACTCCCCAAGGACAGGGAGAATCTTTTTCATAGCGCACAAGGCCCTCAAAAAGGAGGCACCAGTTCCTGGTAGTCAAAATCACTTCACTGATACAGCAGGAACAGGATCAAACCCTACCAGTGCCCACATAAGGAAATCCCACATGTATGTGGAAGAAACAAGCACATTAACGAGTAGAAAAAAATGGACATCATATATGAGCCACACTCCTAATCCACCATCATTAACACAAAGACTATTTTAAAAGAAGTTCTGGGGGTTGTACAACATTGGTGAACCGAATTGTTTCCTGCTTCAGAGAAATAACAAACAGCCACCCACAGAAAGTTACTCTTTGAATGGTGACCTGCCCAGACATGTCTTAAATAACAATGATCAAAGTGAGGAGAGGACCCAGAGGCCAAGACATAAACAGTCATTTTTGACATTACGTTTTTGTTACAGATACAAAATCTCTTTGGGGTTAATTTGCCATGAAGGGAGATGATACATGTGGAAGTACACTTTAAATGTCAGCAGTGCTGACCACGGCATAAGGAGCGACCAAAAATTAAGGCTATGGGGCAGGCAAATTGATCTGACAAAGTTACTTTTGTGCTGAAAGTTAAGACGAAAGAAACACGTTTCCTGCCAAAGGCTTGATGCTGAAAGAGGAACTTCAACCACCTCCATTCTATAGTGTCTGTACCTTCCGATCAAGTTCTTTCCAGTTTTTCTCTTAACTCAGGTGAAAGACCCTGAGGGCAAAGCATGGGACCTAAACTACTCTCTCCAAGCAGTGAGGACTGCCCTGAGCCAGCAAGACCCCACATGACTGACCCCAAGACCATGACAGACCTGACCTTGACTGCCCACTTGCATGTACGCACTGATCTTTCTTCCACATTTTTCTTATCTAAAGCCAGAAATATTTTCAGGACTTTGGAGGCAGTCTTTGAGATGCTAGGGCACTGTCTACCCAGTGTTGGCCTCACCAAAATAAGTCCCTTTTTTGTTTCACTGCAGCTCATTTCTCTGCCCTTGGAATTTGTTAAGTGGCAGGTGGCCAAATCTGGGCTGTTTGGGACCTCTGTAGCCAGGCACTCCCACACCCCAGTGCCCCCACTACAATACTTTTTAAAAAGCATATATATGAATACCTTTTGAAGCTTCCATCCTATCTCATAAGAATACTTCCTAGGAAAGCTATTTCTGGTGGTTTCAGAGGATTACATTTTGCTTTAGTCAGAGGATTAGGTGTTTGAAAGTGGCACTTGAATTACTTCTCCGAAATTATTAAGAAGATTATCAAATCTTAGAGAAAACTACAAACAGGTGATTTTCATCACCCCTTGCCCCCGGGGCTGTCTTCTCCTAAGATATCATAAACCATCTTGTGGTTTTTAAAAGTTTTTGGTTTTTTCCCCTAAAGCTCGATAATGACTTTTGTAGGAGAATGTGCTGGGGGCCTCTGCGGGATGCGAGGCTTGGCAAAGAACTCATTTCCGGGGATACATTAAATTTAGCCCCTGGGCGGGCCAGGCCATAATCGCATTGAGTTCAGCCCTTCTTGGTCTCTCATTGGGGTAACTCTTGTACCAGATCTAAAGCTCCCACCGCGATTCTCCTTCCCATGGGCTGCTCTTTACTGAAAAGGAGGATTAGCTGTGTATCTCATTCCTTTTCACTCCTTCCACGAGTCCAGCTGGAGTTCTGAGAGCAAACAGCAACCGCAAAAGCAAATACTACGTTGGCGCCAACCCTTAAGCTCGGGCCTCATTTAGGCGCCGAAAGACTTAGGATTGTTACTTTAACAAGTTTCATAGGCGGTGGAGGGGGAAAGGGGAGGGAGGAGACGAGGGAGGGCCCGCCCCTTTGGAATGCGATTGGTTCCCTCTCTCGGCGGAGCCGTTCATTTTGCATCTCGGTTGGATAGGGGGACAGAAACATGTCGTTAAGGTGTCGAAATGAGCCCTGTAGGTGTGGGCCGTTCCCTAAGTTTGTGGTTTCCGATTTTCAAAGGGGCGGACTTCTTATTGGCTATGGGATCAAGTTCCTGAAACTGGTCTTCTATACCTTGAAAAATGTCTTCGTGAAAGGAGGCGCCAAGGAGCTTAAGTGTAATTCTCACACAGTAGAGACCATGACGAAGGTTCCTCGGGGGTTTGATTTCAGTTTCTTAAATGACGAAGAAGCCAGGAAGATCCTTCAGGTGCTGGAAAGAAACGAGGAGCTACAGAGGGCAGAGAAGGACAGGATCAGGTACAGCACAAATTCCTTTCTCTTCTCCAGGCGCCTGGCTCCCGCAGGAGCCCCCACCCCCATCCGCCCACCCCCGGGCGCGCGCGGAGGGAGGCGCGGAGCCTTCGCGGAGCACCTGTCGGGGCCTCGGGACGCGCGGCATCCGCGGAGGGGAGCTGCGCTCGGCTGCTCTCTTGAGGACAGTGGGATGCCTGGCTGGCTGGTGCTCTGCCCGCGCGCGGCATCCCGGACGGGCCAGCCTGCGGGTCTCTGGTCCCTCAGGGCCGTGAGCGACCCTGCCCTCGCCGTGCTGGCAGGTTCTTTGCAGCATTTCTCTCCGAGTGGGTCCCGCCGAGCTGCCGCGCGCCCCGGCCGGGGACACGTGGGCGGCGGTCGGCCGCAGGGGTCCAGGCTGCGTGGGGGCAGCGCGACGACACGGCGCCGCGCTCAGGAGCCCTGCGGGCGGTGGCGGGCCGTAGGCCGGGTGCGCGGGTGAAATGGGCTGGGGGCGCTCGCGGGGCGGAATCGTGGCGCGCGCGCGCCCACGTGCTTCCTTGTCCCGGTCCTCCAGGCGGTCCGCCCCCGCCCAGCACGCTCTCCCGCGGCCCCAGACACGCCCCCCACCCCACGCTGACCGGCAGCGGCTCCCGGGAGAGATGGCATCTTACTGGCGGCGAAGTGGTCCCACCCAAAAGGCCACACAGTTCCAGGAACTTGCCACATTGTGTGGAGTGAACCGGCCTCGGACTGGGACGCGCCGAGTGGCTAGATGGGTGGGTCTCCTTGCGTGTGGTGCTGCCGGGGAGAAGCTGCTGCGAAATTTCACCCCTGACCTTACTCTACAGTGTTACAGGTAGGGATTTAGATACCAGAGACTGATATCGACAGGTAATTGCCTGGGATGTAAATTAACCAGTTTTTCTGCTGGGAAAGTGTGGGGATAGGTCCTGGAATGAATACAAGGACTTGCTCACCAGTTCTAGAAAAGACCCATTCAAGGCCTTCTCCACTTGACTCTGGAAGGGAATTCGGGGCATCACTCTCAGGCCAAAAAGTTCATCCTTGATTGGAATTTAGAAAACCATTTTGTTTGCGAGCAACTTCATGGTGATGTCGGGTCTAGGTTTCCACCTCCTTCCAAAGATTCCACTGGCCACCCCCACCCAAAAAAACCCAAAAAACTCAAAAAACTCCAAAGATACTCTTCACATGGGAAAACCCTAGTTGGTCTTCATAGAAGCAGTTAGAATACACTGGGCCCAAAGCCCTGTCTTCACTCCTCTCCAGCAGATACAGATCTTGTGGGGAGAAACGAATATTTGAAGGGTGAGAATGTGTATTTCACACCATCATACTCTGCTTTTAGAAAAATAGGCTCCATCACTTCCTCACTGTGTGAGCACAGTATGTCCACACCCACACGCATCCACGTGCATGTACCCACACACCCACGCCTACCCACAGGCACACCCAGCCTTGGGAAGGAGAACTTTAGAATAGTATGTAGTTTGTTTTCAACACATTTTCCAAAAGGACTAAGAAACTGGTGGCTCTCAGTGTGTGTCCTTGGAGGTGTTTGTTGTCTCTAGAGAGATGGGGCTTCTTAAGTGATCCAGTATATATATTTGGGGAAATTGAGGGGAGAGTTAGGAAACAACAGGAGAAAGCTTCCACTTAGGATGTTACTATCAGTGTGGCTTCTCATGAACTATGGTCCTAGAAATAGTAAGATTATTTAGTTTAATTTTCATTCAAGGGAATTTTGACTTTTTATATCTGAACTCCTGCTTGCCTTGTTGTGTTTCCTCAATAGCAGCTCATGGTGCCCAGGACAGCCGCCTTTGGGGGATCTAGAACTCCACGTAGGGGGCAAGGCCATTAGGCTGGGCCTCAGAAGGAAGGCTGAAACACCCTTTCTGATTGCATGGCACTCGCATTGTAACTGGGACATCAACAGAAAAAGGCATGATGCTAAGACAAGATCAATACTGCTAACGATTACACTGTTAAAAATAATTACCCCAATAATTTAAAAAATGTCACCATTAAAATATGGAAATAATTTAAGGGCAGCGGACACTTGGGCCAAATGCTGAAGGCAATTATTTCTAGTACTTTGTTCCCCGCTGGTTAATTCCTGAATCCCACTGTCAGATACCCATCACTGGATAGCTGTGTCCTGGCATTGGTCTGCGTACCAGCTCGCGTGCATGGGTTTCAGTAGCAGATACTGACATGTGGAGAAGGCCTGAGATAACATGTCAGCTCGGCTGCCGCTGCTCATTTTCTTGGTATGTGTGATCACATTTTCCAGATCAAAAGTCAGAACACGTGACTTCTCATACAAGAGTATTATTTAGGAGACAGTACAACAGGCCTATGTGAGAGACTGGGAGGGTTTTTTCCTACACAGGTTTCCCCCGTTATCCAAAAATAAAGCATTTCCTATGAAAGCTTCATAAGCCAGCAGGGCAGAAAGGAAAGAAACGATTGCCATGAATTTATGTGGAAAAATTTTCGAGCATTCCCAGGCACCAAAAATAACCTCTCTTAGGCTTTCCTAAAACCTTAGGACGCATCTTGATAAATGATGCACGAAATAAATCAAGATAAAGCACAGATGTTCACAAACACAGTTCAAAACTACTGCGGCTTCGGGACGCCTGAGCAGTTCAGCCGGTGGAGCGTCTTGACTCTTGATTTCGGCTCAGGGTCTGATCTCAGGGTCATCAGATCGAGCCCCTTGTGAGGCTCGGCAGTCAGCATAGAGTCTGCTTAAGAGTCTCTCTCTCTCCCTCTGCCCCTCCCTCCTGCACTCGCCCTCTCTCTCTCTCTCTCTAAATAAATAAGTAAAATCTTTTTTAAAAGTTTAAAAAAAATCATTAAAAAAAAGCTACCGCGGCTTGGTGCTGAGATGCTGAGTGTGGCTCGTCGGGGAAGGAGCCGGGCAATATACCCCTCTTGCCACTTAGGCTGTGTGCTGCCTCCCTCCCTGCAAAACATGTGCTATACTCTATTGTTGCTTTTTGCCTTTCTTCATAAAAGCAGAAATCCTCTTCCGGTTCCATTTGGTTGGCAAAAACAGGGACTAATGGAGGTCTTTCATAAAAGTGAAGTGGCCTAACTCAAACTTTGGAAAACGGGGTGGGAGAGGGGGAGTACTTGTAATGAGATACAGTCTCAGGATATCTTGGCTAGGACATTAAGGGACTAAATGGAGGAGTTTGGAAAGTTTTCTGGTTGGGGGACAGCTGAGGAGTTCAGTTAGGTCTATGGTAGGCTTGAAGTGTCTACAAGACAACTAAGAACTATCCTATAGTTAGAAACCTAGAAGGGCTGTGTCATGCAGGGCTGGAGATGCCCAGAGATTGATGTGGCAGTAGTTGAGTTCACCGTGCAAGAGTCAAGAGCCCCACATAGAAATGCTCCTGAACACACGGATCTACCCCTGGTCTTCCCGCACCAGTACCAGACCTTTCTGGCTCCAGCTTACTGGGAAAGTATTTGCATTAAATATTACTATGTTCCTGATATATAAAGACTCTATTCAAATACTGAAGAAAAACACCAAGATTCAAACTGATAAACAGGTAGAAGATAGAAATAAGGTGTTCATACTAGAAGATATCCCAACAGTAAACAAAATGTTACGGGAAAATGTTCACCCTCACAGTAATAAAGAAATGAAAATTGAAGTCTTTAACAGAAAAAAAGAAACCTGTTGGTGAGGATGGGTGTGAAATGGATAGATTCAGCATACTGTTAGTGGAATGCAATCCTTTTGGCGAACAATGTGGCGCTCCCTATAAACACATGCCTTACCCTTGATCCAGTCTCCAGTTCTTGGATATTTCTCATTAGTGGGAGTCTGAGGTGGGAGCAGATGGCCACACCAGCAATTATTAAGTGCTGCCTTTTTATGTAATAAAAATAGTAATTAGGGGCGCCTGGGTGGCTCAGTTGGTTAAGCGACTGCCTTCGGCTCAGGTCATGATCCTGGAGTCCCTGGATCGAGTCCCGCATCGGGCTC